GTTCACTAAGCCAGAAAGTTCACCTGCCAAAGCTGGAGCTGGATGTACCCGGGCAACAGAAATCAGGGATGCTTTGTGCTCCCACATTATGGTCCCAGTGGAAGAGGGAATAGTATCTTTATGAATTTGCTTGTGGGGATGGGGTTCAGTGCTTGGGGAAGGGTGGAGCTTGATTGCCAGGCACTGCACTTATGAATGCCATGATCACTTATGAAATGGTGTGTAGGGGATGATTCACAGTACGGATTCATATAAGGAAGTGACTGAAGTGTGGACTGATGTATCTAATTTTATAGAGGAATACCGTTTGCTTACTAATTCCTAATAGTCCCTGATCATGTGTTTATCTTAATTATTTTAAATACACATTGTATGATGTGATACAGTGATGATAATAAATGTTCTTGACATAAAAAGCTTTATTTATAAACATGTATTATACAAGTACAACATTCACCCATTGCCAGGCAGGCCAGTTGCCATTACCACACCAAAACACCAGTAACAACAGAACCTTTCAACAACAAAAAAGTGCAAGAACACGTGCGAACAGTAAAACCATGAACAAGACAGAAACCCCCTACCACTGCATGTTTTCAGCCCTCTATTCTCCTTTCTCTTCTTATCCCATTTACTCCATGCTTGGCGCCAGGAGAAGGGGCTGCAGAGAAGACTCTATGGCGCAAAGTTGCCCTGCCCAGCCACTCATAGGGCCCAACTGCATGGGCCATTGGCCACGGAGTTTTACAAGTTGTTTCTGGACTGCATCCCAAGGTACTGCACAGGGATGTAGGCCACGGTGTGGATGATGTGACTCAGACCAAGATGTGGATGATGCGGCAGGAGCCAATATTCTTGCAGCCATTCTTGATATCAGCTGCTCAAAGAGTTTTCTCTGCTGAACTCTGTCCTTCTCCCTTAGCCTGCTCCAATGCTGAAACCCTATCCTCAAGGTGTGCAGCCAGCTTCAGCCTTTCCTTTTCCCTCTCAGCATGCCTTTTCTCTAGCTGTAAGTCTCTCTCTTTTTGATACTGGACCTGCTTGTTGGTCCTGTCCATAAGTTCAACCACAAGTTCACCACAGAAACTCTTCCTTTTGGAACAGTTTGTAAAGGTACATCGGGCCAGGCTTGTACTACACTGTGGGTGAGCTATGCAGGTACTGCAGCCAATAGAGGTTGAGAGGCCTGGAACAGAACAAGACACAGAGGGATATTGTTTCAAATAGCTCAGTGCAGGAGCTCAGAGAAAAACTTTGTGGAATTTCAAGGACATAAAATGTTACTTTTCCAATCTAAACTTCAATATATTGTGAGAGGGATGCTTCTGTCCACAGAAGCTCCCTGGACAAAGCCTGGATAATCACAATGAAAAGTTAAAAATTCAAAGGTTTTTTTTGTTTTGTTTTTTTAAATTGCAGAACTACTTGGGTTAGGGGAGGGAGGGCTGTCAGTGGCCTTGTGACAAAAGCTTTTTCTGCCATTTCAGGCCTTCCACATTTTTGAGGATATACAGTTCTTGTGGTTGCTGACTGACAAAGGGAAATGTTATTCCGACCTGCTGGTGGGAAAACTGCAGGGTTTTCCTCGGAAGTGTTCAAACATATTGTGACTGACCAGCACATCTATGAGTGGACTGGCCTGGTCAGCTACCAAGGTGGCTCTGGAAAATACACTCTTTCCTGAAATGTCACTACCTATCTGGAGTTTGTGCTTCAGGAAAAGTTTGCATCTATCAACACCTGTGATTGGGTTGGAATTCTTAAGGGATTTAAAAGAATGCTGCATTAGCTTCCACATGGATTGGCTGATTATGACTGCATGCAAAAACATTTAATTCCATGGCCACCCCCCTTTAAACCCTCTCCCCCCAGCACATTTCTGGATGCACTTTCAAACCCCAGGCAAATCAGGGACAAATACTTTTGTCATGTACAGACTGCATGGACTACCTTTACCTGAAATGGACTAGATTTGCAAACGGAACACATTTCCACCTCCTCCCCACCACAGCTTACCATTTCCACATGGCTCATTACATCACTGAGTAGCTACAGAACAGCATATTTACAGGTATGGCAGTGTAAAGTAGTTATTTTTAAGAAATGGGAATGCCCTAGCAAAAATCGGTGCCCTTTCAATAAAAAAATCACTTTTAAGGATTTTTATTGTTTGCATTTCCTGGTCGTCATTTTGAGCTCTATGTGGTGGGGAGTAGGGAGAGTCATGCCACTGGGATACATTCTGCCATTAGGGGGTAAATGCTACTAGCTGGGGCTTCTAATAAGTTTTGCATAGAATGGAAATCCCTCCCATATATTAATAAACATTATAATGGAGCCACAAACTTACCAGGCTCCAGGGCGGTTTCTGTCCCATCTGTGTCTCCTGCAGGCTTCGCAGTGGCCTGTTTCTCAAGAGGGCATCAAACAGCTCCTCTGCGTACAATTCCAGGATGTGCTGCAGAGACTCCTGTGGTACTGGTTTCAGTAAGAGTCATTTCACTGGCATCACTCTGCACCTGCTGCTGGCTCCCATCACTCCCCATGCTGTATTTTGGGGCCAGCGGGGTGCCATCTTGGCTGACCAGGTCATCATGCATCATTGATGGCTCTGCGCTTGGCATCCTGTCAAACGCCTCACAAAATGTGCACTATGTCGGTGAGTTGCCTGAGGTGAAGCTCTGGTCCCTGGTTTTCCTGCACTCACTCTTGAGATGCTTCATCTGCTCCCTAAACTTGTCACCAGTCTGGTATATTTGTAATGCTGACAGTTTCTTCCCTATTTGCTGGTATGAACGATCGTTCCTGATACTCTTACTAAAAATCCATTGTTTTGCTTGCCTTGCACCAGAGATTTACCAAAATCTGGATGTGCTCGCATGACGATGAAGCAGTGCGCTTTGCAGAAAGCTTATTCTGTTCAGTCTCCATTGCAAACACTGAAGGTTCTCTGATGGTGTATTTGCAACTCAGCGGTCAGAAGGCAGTGCAAGGGTTAATGCTGACTCACTGAACTGCTGCATTACAGCAATGGGGATTGCTTCTGCTTTCACTGGAGTCAACGGGAGAGTCTTGGAATAGAGAGAACAAGGAAGTGGCCCCTGGGATTGTTGGATACTTTTTGGTGGACCCTCAGAATCTGAGGCTAGGTCTACACTACCCGCCTGAATCGGCGGGTAGAAATCGACCTCTCGGGGATCGATTTATCGTGTCCCGACGGGACGCGACAATCGATCCCCGAATCGACGCTCTTACTCCACCAGCGGAGGTGGGAGTAAGCGCCGTCGACAGAAAGCCGCAGAAGTTGATTTTGCCGCCGTCCTCACAGCGGGGTAAGTCGGCTGCGATACGTCGAATTCAGCTACGCTATTCACGTAGCTGAATTTGCGTATCTTAAATCGACTCCCCGCTGTAGTGTAGATGTACCCCCAGTCGGGGGTGGAGGGCTGTCTCTACACTGCAAAGTAATAGGGCTCAAAGCCTGGGTCCCAGCTTGACTCAGACCCTCCATACCCGCAGAGTCCTAGGACCCTGGGTCCGAGCCCATGTCTGAGAGATGTGTGTGTAGATGGAAGGGGGGATTTGGACTCAAGCCCAAGTCTGAGCCAAAGCTTACATTGCAGTGTAGACATACCTTAAATGCTTAAGTCAGTTTGCAAAATGGGACTTAGGACCCTAAGTAACTTAAGCTCTCTTGACATTTTTACCTCCTGTCTAGTTTCATAATGTTGGCAATGAAGCTTCTACCATTTCCCTTAGGAGACCACTGATCAGCCAACAGACTTCATCTTCATTAAGCTTTCCAAATATTCCATCTACATTTTCCTTTTCTTAGTTTTACCCCATTAAACCTAACTGAACCGGGGGGGGGGGGGGGAGGGAAGAGGGAGAATCACATTAAATTCCTCTCCCTCCTTGGTATGTTAATACCATTAAAATATCTGTAGACCAGGGACATCTTGGAATGAGCAGAGAAACAGTTGCTAACTGCACCTCTGTTTCTGCAGCCTTGCTGGATAAAATCACATCCTCAATATATGCAATAGCAACCTAAACAGAGTACTGTGCTGAAAGAATAGTAAATTCAGGAAAAGAAATGGCAACTGCTAAATTTGTATGTCTTGGTATCTTCACCTGCAAAAAAGATAATTTCCGGTTCCAGTTTGAAAAGGAAATTATATTATTTATTTGCATTATAGCAAATAATATAATAGCAGGTGCTAGGCACTGTACAAGCATATAAAAAAGACAGTCTCTGCCCCAAAGAGCTTATTACTAGTTTTGTTTTTTAAAAATACAATACACACAAAGTACTGAAGTAAACTGCATTTCTTTCATTAGTGATCATGATTTGGTAGGGTGACCAGATAGCAAATGTGAAAAATTGGGGGGGAGGAGGTAGAGGGGGGGATTCAATAGGTGCCTATATCAGAAAAAGTCCCAAATATCGGGACAGTCCCTATAAAATCAGGACATCTGGTCACCCTATGATTTGGTGTATTGAACATTTTACTATGCTACCAGGCAGTAATTCAATATAATTCTATCTAGCATTGATAGTTGCTGCAACACGATGAGAACATAAACCTTTGACAGCTAGGAAGATGAAAGGTATCACTGTTGAATTCTACAAGTAAATGTGGGATTTTGCAAACTACAAACAAAAAACACAAAAGGCTAAGGTTTTTAAAAAACAGGATCCTAGTTAGTCTCCTATCTCCATATTTAGACACCTGTCTGAGTTTGAAACTAAGCATGCAACTCCTTCTACTGAGCTCAGTTGTAGTTTGTGGCTCCTCAGCACTTTCAATAATCAAACAGCTGTCTAAATATGGGGTTAGGAGATTACCTTTAGGCTCTTATCTTTCAAAATCTTGGCCTAAACCCAAGATGGAAGAAGCTACAATCCAAACAGAAGTATTCTTTGCAAAAGTATTCTCTTTGCTACATTGCTCAAAATGTCAACACACACTTTAATTACAATTATACAATCGTTTGACCTTGTGCAGCTTTCGATCTCCTTTTTCAGCTGTGTCCTCCATTTCAGGGCATGGGTAAAAGCCAGGAAATGGTGTGAACGGGTTAGCCTTTGGCCTGCATGAGCCAGAGAAAGCACCCATCAAACTATTAATGCTTCGAAGGGAAGAAATCACATGTGGGGGAAGGGCTGGATCGATCAAGAGGTCTGATACCACGTTGCGAGCCTCATTTAGTACTGAAAGATCAACTCCACTTCCACTGCCAGCATTCTAAAATAGAGGGAAATATTGTAAATCACTAATTTAATTATACACTTGGTATATAAAATATTAACAAAATCTCTAACTCTCATAATTCACATTAAAACGAGAGGGAATCAATCGTATAAACATTTCTCTTTAATGTATTAAAAAAAATCATCCATACAACATCATAGCTTTTATAACAATATATTTTCAGAGAAACAAATTAACTGTGAATCTGTCAAAATCAGGCCCATATAAATATTGCATAGTGTTCTCAAAACTTACCTGAGTCAATACAAACAAGTCTTCCAGGAATTAATTATGTCAACATATTCTTATGTGAAAAATCATTTTACATCATTACAAAGCAATTTAGATTTCAGGATTTTTAAACATTTAGTCCCCTAAAGGAAAGGTCAAGGAAAGATGAATGGGAGCTACATCACTAACTTCAGCCATACCATCAGGGCGTACTTTGGAATTGAGCAAGAGCTGTCAGTTTTGCTTTCATTCTCTTTTTAACAATAAAAATCGGGCATTTCTTCCCTTAATTAAGCATGTACATAATGTCCAATATTGTTGGGAAGAGTATATCCTAAGAATTTTCAATTACACTTAATTTTTTTTTCAATTGGCACAATTTAATTTTTATAGCAGCACATTTTCCAGTGAATAGCAAGCTGCCAAAAAGAAGCTTAAGATCATATGATATTTTTACAATTGTAAGTTTATTTTATTAATAAAGTTGATGAAGTTAATAACATTCAATTCATTTTTGTGTAATGGGCAAAAAATGGAGACCCTCGCAAGCCCAAAATAAAATGAAATTATATTCCACCTTTAATTCAGGTTTTGGGTCAATAGATAAGCAATGTATACATTTCCTTAATTTTTCAGTACTTTTATTTGATGGCTAGTCTACCCAATCTCTCAAAATTGTATTTCAGTTTCATTTCAAGGCATAAAACAAAAAAGTTTTTGATGCTGCATCTTATCTACAAACATTAACAAACATTATAAACATTCATAGTAATACTTATACATGATATTTAAATTATTTGTCTCCTACAAATGATGCTAAAAAGTACACTTTTTTATTATATGCATTGTAGTGTTGTCTAAAGGCCTCAACTAGGTCAAGGCCAGATTGTGGTAGGCACGGTAAAAACATGCAGGTAAATGAAAGTCTGTGCCCCAAAGAGGTATGTTTCTGCATTTAAGGTTCAGAAGCCCAAAAATGATTCAGGCTTCTCAAATTAAGTTTGAAACAACAATAACCAATTGCAGTGTATACTTTTGTGCCTTCTAACCCCTCAATTATTGCTTTTCAAAGTTTACACCAGAGATGTACAAACAGTATGAACCATCATACATGGCATCAAAAGCAAATTTTCTTTTAAAAAGAAGTCAGCTGGGATGTTCTCAACTGGTGGCCCTTAATCACAAAACATATCACTCTCCAGTAAGTTCTACTTTCTGCACACTTAGCCTCCATCAACCTAGAACATAAACTATAATTACCGGTACTATTTGTATTTCAGAAGCACTCAACATCCACAATGAAACTCTTTGAGTGTGCAGACTCAGAGATGAAGAATCAGCAAATTAAGGCAATTTGAAGAAAGGTCTATGTAGAACTAAGAAGTGAGTGAACAGTGGCTAATGAAATTCAGTGTTTTAAAATATGAAGTAATTCATATGTGTAGAACCAACAAAAGTGAATACATAGACTTAATCTGTGACATTATTAAAAGATACTGTTCATCTACTATTTAAATATTCAAAGCATAAAAAAAGATGACAGGAAGGGCTGCAAGATTTATTTCCAGCATTGGTAGATTGTCCTGTTAGGAAACCAGTAAGGAATTGAATTTGTTTACTCTGGAAATAATGTACTTGTAAGGTGACTCAAATTTCATATGAAGGCCACAAAATGGATGGACATGAACTAACATTCAGAAATGAAAAGCTTTAACTTCATATTGGAATGCTTTCTCTTTACAAATAATTTAGAGTATGGAATCAAAAGTCAAAGAAAGCAAATGACGCTACAAGCAACAAGAAATTTAGAATTGGAATTAATGATTCCTGGAAATACCTGAACTGAGTAACAGAACAGAGGAACAAAGAAAAGAAAAATAAGTAGTGAGAACATATTTGCAAAAATTCAGAGGACAAGGAATTCTGAGGTGACATTTAATATCTTTTCTTATTTTTCCTCTTCCAAAAAAGAATAGCCTTTTCGATCTCCTCTGCTTAAAAAATAAAAATCAAATTAAAAAACGTTGTCATAATTATCACTGTAAATATTTGTGCATTTTCTGACTTTGGACTTGTGAGGGAAAGTTAGTCTGCCCTAATATTTAGTTAAGGTAGATTTTCTAAAAAATATAGTTTAAGCATAAATCACTTTGTGTACTTTTGTATAGTAGTATAGCTTATTCAGTAAAACCTATACAATAACTAATAGTTAGGATCAAAAATTAGCAGTCCACTTAGTGAGTGGCACACTAGCGGGGGTGCGGAGTAAATTTATGCCCCAGCTTGCAGCAGACTAAGTGTTCCTATAGACAAGCCCTAAGAAGTTGTATTGGTATGTTCCTAGTACCACTCACTTCTGAGGTGAAAGCATGGTGGTTTTAAAATAAGGTCTTGAGAGCAGAAGAATTAAGCAGAGGAAAACGGATAACCATGCGGCAGAAAAACTTTGCCTAGCAACATATGAACTTGGAATAAGAGGCAGTTCCTAAATATAATCCAGTGAATTGGATATACTGCACCAAAAAGGATATACTTACCTGTAATTCTGTTTCCTAAGACATATTTGACAGGATTATCACTCTTGGGTCTCATCTTCCTAGCATAAGACAGAGTAGATCTCCTTGGTCCTAAATGAAGCAGTGGAGAGCCTATATCTGCTAGGTGCTTTTCTCTTGAGGGAAAGTGATCAGGGACAGAATTTAAAGCGATGTCCCTTGAGAAATTTCCCTAATCCTCAGAGCTGTTGGCAACAAATCAGCCAGTTTTATAGGCCCTCTTTCTAGGAGGGCTTTGATAATACTCTGGCAGAAACACAGGTATTGCAGAAAGAGGAGGAGGAATAAACTGAGACTGAGGAGAGAGGAATGGAGTATTGCAGACCTTGGGGCTAGTATATTGCCAATGGCTCTAATCTAAAGAGAGGAATCTCTTGGCTAGGACAGCAGCTATGGCGGTTGAATGAATATTGGTAGGAGCTAAAGTAGCTGAATGTGTGTTCCACAAGAAACGAACATGAGAAAGTTAGAAATTATCAAAACAAAGCCTAAGAGTGACACAAACCAGACTTGAGTAAAATATGCTGGCAATGTGGACCTGTGTGACTGCACAGCATATGGAAATCTTATCAAATGAACAGTAGTTAAACATTTGGCTAAAATATAAAAGGGGAGACACCAATTAACTAGTAAAAAGGGAAAAGAAAATTGCCTGTACATTAGTAGGATATGATCAGTTTATTCCTAGAAATGGTGACGTAGGCCTGTTCAAGCAGAACAAATCCCAGGATAATGTCTGGGTGCTGGAACTAACGATAGGGGGACTTCCTGTAAAGTTCAAAGTAGAAACAGGACTAGAGGCCAGTGTTTGCCTATGAGACTATGGTCACTCTTCTTATATATCAGGGGTGGCCAAACCATGGCTTGAAAGACACATGCAGCTCTTTTACAATTAAAGTGCGCTTGCGGAGCCCCCCCCCCCCACACCTCCCCACCATTCTTCGCCTATCAGACTGGGCGGGAGGGGTTCCCTGTTGGGAGGTGGGGGCCTAGGGGCTTCTGCCTAGCAGGGAGGCAGGGCTAGGGGCTTCTGCCCCACAGGAGGCACTTGCAGGGCAGAAGCCCAAGCCCTAGCCAACACGCCTGGCTCTTGAACTTCTGAAAATTATTGTATGCGGCTTGGAGGGTCTGTAAGTTTGGCCACCCATGTTATATATACAAAAAATATAAAACTACAAGAATTAGCTGACTTTGAACATCAAGTCAGAAGAAAGGTTATGAGTTCTAAACTGGTCACCTCACAATATGGTTTTATACAATTTGACACCACCAAGTTAAAGAGTCACTGGGTAAAAACTGTCTTTGGATTTCTCAGCAATAGAAATAAATAGCTTAGGAAAATTCCTGAATGGTTTTGTTCTACTTAAGTCAAAAAACAGAGCTCAGAGAACATCTAGAGCACAATTTCACAACCCGAGGTCACGACCTAAAATTGGGGCCCCGGAATGTATCAAAGAGTCATGGTCCTGCCCCTCAGGAACACAGGAGGCCCTTTGGGGTGGGTGTTGCAGATCGTATTCCGCAAACACACACAGACAGCCTGCAGAGGCAGCCCTGATCCCACAGAGCTGGCTGGGCTCATCCCTGGCTCCTGGCATTGTGACTTGGTGGTCAGGGTTACAGCATCACTCAGGTTTGGTCCAGTTGCCATTCTGTCATGATGACAAGGAGCTGCATGTGCCAAATGTGAGTGAGTGGTGCTATGACCGCATGCACCAGGTTGCAACGCATGGCTGGCTCCCAACAGTGGGGCTGGACCAAACCTGAGCAGCACAGCAACCTCAGAAGTCACAATGGCTGGAGTGGGGAGCAAAGCCCAGCCAGCCCTGTGGGACAGCAGCCACCTCTCTGGTATGCGTGGTGTACTTATTTAGTACTTATTATGTTAATATGTATATTGTATATCGCGGGTAAGAAATATTTAGTAAGCCAGAATTGTTTTGCATTAAAGCTATTTACTGGATTCTGACAAGCCATCAAGGTTTACAAATGAGTCCTGAGCCCAAAAAGATTTAGTTAGAATCACTGATCTATAGTATGTAACACAGCCTCACCCTTGGATGAATGTGGCTTTGTGAAAAAACAGGTAAGTGTATAGTCTGATTTAAGTGGAAATCAGAGTTCACTTTGGGGAGAAATTTAGAGTGTGGTCAGAGTGTAAGCTTATCTCTGTGAAAAAAAAAAATCACACAGCGGGATGGCAGACCA